GTGTCTGGTTTTACTGCCTTTCTTACCCAATCTCCTGGCCATTTCTATTTCTGACTGGTGAAAATTTATGTCCATAAATTTTTTCATAGTTGACAATAATAATTCTTGCAGACCTACATATCCATGCTCGGTCTCTTCAAGTCCAAAGAATATTAGGCTTTTCTTTCTGACCTACCTTTCTAATAGATATATTGTTTCTTGTTGTTGGTTTATTTTTTTTTCCAAATTATTAGTTCTGTTTTCGATCATACTAAATTTTTCGTTAATATTACTGTTTATTTCTTGAGTAATACATTCCTGCATATTTTGCATATCTTTCTTTTGAGCGGCCAGATCGTTCTGGTTTTGTTTCAAAACCTTAATTATTTCATTCATGTTTTGGTACAAGTGTTGCCCTCCAGTCCTTAATATCAGAACTAATTAATAGCAAAATAGCTGGTGCGTAGGCGCAGCGGTATTCTACTTGTATGTACTTGTATGCTTACTAGATGGCGTCACCAGTCCAACTTTTTTGTTTAGAATTACCTTTAGGTTTTGTTTTTAGGTTATAATATAATATTTTTTGCTATTTCGCTCAGTTTTATCTGCCACTTAATTTCTTTACACAGACTGACCTTCAAGAATGATTCTCAGTTGATTTTCCATGGTGGTTTGTCGAGTGTTACACAGTAACTGTTATGATGCTTCGTGCCAGTCTTGTTCTTTATTTTACATAACAACACAGTTTTTCGGGAAAAACTATTAATATTTTTCACTTTTCACGTCACTGTAACCGGTTTCGATGCAAATTTGGTGATAAAGAATACTAAATATATTTTATTGCTAAGTATAAGTACGGAGCCGAAGTGAATATGAGCATAGTAGCGCCTTCCTCCCCCTCCCCCCTTCTTAGAGTGGGTTATCGCACATTAAATACCTCGGCCTCACCCTGGACTGGAGCTTCAAGGAGCATTTCGAGCGGATGATCCGACGAGTTCGCGGGGTGGCGGGCAGAGGTTACAGAGGTTGTTAGGCAACAACAAAATATAGGTGGTCCGCGGGAGGAAGTTCGAAGCCTCTACTATGCGGTGATATGATCCATGGCCCTCTACGGAGCGCCAATATGGGCCAAGCGTCTATCGGCCTCCTCCCGCTGCCGAGCTAAGCTCAATCAAGCGCAGAGGGGAGCGCCCATCCGGATCATACTATTTCGTTACAGCATTATTTCGTCGAAGGCGACGACAGTCCTGGCACGTTTCCCGCCTTTTGGTATCCTGGCAGATATGGGCGCGAAGGTCTATGACCAGACTCGTGTAACCCGCCGTGGTGAGAGCGGGGAAGACCGGTCGGCGCCGTTCTGCCTAACCTCGAAAGCTACCAGGTTAGGCTGAACGGTGCGGGTAGGTAGGGAGGGAGACCGCGTTACCTACCGACTGACACAGAACGCAGAAAATTTGAGTCATTTGAAAGGAAATGTAGGTAAGAAGGGATAATCGGACAGGGATATGGCTTATATTAATGAATTCTGGAATATAACCAATAGGTTCGGCTACCGTACTGTACTGTACCGTAACTGTATCTCACACTGTAACTGTAAACATAATTCTCATATCTGGCAATAAAATACATAAAACAATCGAAATAAGAAGGCAATACGTAAGAGTATGGTAAGTTTTGAGTTTTTTAATAATAGAATAAGCATTTTAATATGCACTACAATGTTATGACTGTATCAACGACATTAGATAAGCAATATCAATATTTATAATAATAGCATAACATAAACAATGACTGCACGCATGGCGTAATGGTTTAAAAGGTCACCTCACCGCTTTCTGCTTCGCTGAGTGTTGTGGGTTCGATCCCCACATAGGACAACACTTTGTGTGATCCACAAATTGTTGTTCTGAGTCTAGATGTTGTGTGTGTATGTTATTAAAATATCCTGAGACACAGGATATATTGCTAGTGCGGGAGTTGTCTTTTAAAGGAAATAATTAAATTGAAATGGAGGGTTCCATGGCGACTCCAGTTGTACCCTAAATTACTTTAATAATAAAATCATACAAAATTTACGCAGACTTTTATAATATACTTTAGCACCATGTTTTGACACTAATTGAATATTATTATTTATTAAATTGCGGCTTGTCCCGTGACAACAATTCATTAATCATTTCCCATTGATCGTATATTGATCGATAATATTTAAGCATGTATTTAATAAGCGACTAATCGTTCAATCGCGTGTTCACCTAATAAATGTTCGGTCGCATTTACATTATTATATATCCTCAACTGTACAGTTAAACGTAAATCATAATCGCGTATATTTATTTAATAAAGGTGAAAATCAGAACAGCTTAATTATTGACGTCAAGACTAGCCAATTTCGTTGTCAAGGATTTCCTATCGCATAAGTGTTGTTTTAACTTGAATGGTAATTTCATGTTCATTTAAAATATATGTAGTACACCAAAATTATCTTAAAATGTCGTCTGTCTCTTCCATCAGAGACTGGCAATCTGAGGAACTACTACATTTTGCGCGGTAAGTATTGACAGTCAGACTTTTTGTGAATTTTAATTATTAAAATTATTGGTCACATCTATGTATATGGTCAGCAATTTTGTGACTGAAAATGTGATAGATTACATTAGATGACTGCATTAGGGTTTCAACGACATGTTATTCATCTCATAGTAATGCCAAAATGACATCCTGTAATGGACGAAAACCAAGAGGGTCTCTTATTTTAGTAGCTATGTAATAAAATTGGGTTCCAAAAAGTGCAATATTGACTGTAGAATTCGTTAACAAATTACAATTAATTGCATATTTTTGGGTACATCTCTGTACGAATTTAATTAACAGGCTTTTATTAGCTTCCTATGTATCTAACGGAATCTTCTCGCGCCTCCTGGAAATCGTGCAGAACCCTCTTATGACCCTGATGGCCAGCACTCTCAGACTTCAGGTCAGCCAATACTAAGATAATACCATTATATCCGAGAGAACGGTTTGTACATATTAAGATGTATTGATACCGTTACTTAAAAATTTATGTAGTAACTTAAAAGTTTATCATCTACCAGGGTTATGAAGGACTGACAGCAAATAGATAATAATATTACGGTAGTAAAATGTATTTATGGTTGTTTTAAAATGTATAACAAAACTGGGTTAAAATGGAAACAGATCCATACATATTACGTGCGTGTGAAATAGATAGTTACCATATTATTTATGTAAGACCAGTTATTTGTTTTAATAATATCTTCATTATTAGCGCTTAATACCTAAAATCGGAAACTACTGCTACAGTAATGACTGAATTTTATAATCGAAATTTTTCTCTATTTGCTTTACATCAAAGGATGTAAATGTAAAAAGTATTGAATACTAAGAATATGTTATATAATATAACAATAATAAGTTTTGCAGAGTGAGGTTATAAAAAAGCCTTTATTTGACTAAGCTACATATCATCTTAGTTAGTAGAATTAATTACTTACTAATTAGTATTGCTAGGTGTGCATACTTAAATTTCTCTTACTATAAATACTAAATGACTTATTTCTAGTTATTTTATTTATATGCATTAAGCTTACCCAGGTAGGGTAAAGGCCTCCTCCAAAGGTGCCCACATCTCTCTATCCTGTGCTATTTGCTACCAGTTTGAGTCAGCGACTTTTTTGATCTCATCTTCCTATCGGGTAGAGGGTCTTCCTGTCCTTCTTTTTTCTTGAGATCCTCTGAGTGAGGTTACCGGAGCCCAAACCCGCCCTCCTCCTGACCCTAGGGGCAAGCATTCAAAGGGCGGCAACTCAGGTGTCCATGAGCGGCGGTAGTCGCTTACCATCAGGCGACCCGTCTGCTCGCTTGCCCCCTTATATCATAAGACAAAAGCATTTCATGTAAAAACTTGTAATACTACTTAGAAGTCTATCATATATCCTAACCTTTTCCATTACAAGTAACATAATAAATAATATCATAAACAAACACAAAAATGTTTACTAAATGAGTCATATATTATGATACCAAGAAATGGAAACATACTACAGCGCTATCTAACGAAGACACACCGAACTACGGAGGAACTTCTGAATGAGAAATGCTAATCCTGTATCGCAATATGAAGAATTCTCTCGCCGATTAGCATAATTATATACAACTTCCCAACATCAACCCAATGGTTGATGTTGGGAAGTTGTATGCCGGGCCCGCGGGCCTGCCGGGCCGCGGCCATTAGGCCGCACATGGACGTCAATGTTGGAGGGACATGACACCCGTTCCTCCACATGCAAACTAAGAAGAAGGTCTTGAAAACTCTTATAAATATATTTTTTTAATCTCTACAATTTCTATAATAATGATAATGTACACCTTTTTTTTGAGCAGTCTATTGAAAAAAATTTGATAGATTTCATTAAAACTTGTTTGAAAAAAGAAAACATGTTGTTAAATGTGTAACAAAATTTATATTTGTGTGATATACCCACATCGCGGGTACAAAATTCTGACACATACCTATATATATATTTTGTTTCCTCTCGTACACCGAGCGAGTAGCCCCTATTTAACATTTCCATTAATATTCATTTTTATAATAAACTTTTAAAAGAGAATCACAGACTTTAGGTGCTATTTTTTCTTCAAACTTTAAAAAGAGTAATCAGAAAGCATATCCAAATACCAAACAAAAAACCAGTTTATAAATGACAGAGTTTAGAGTTAACAAACATAAAAAATACAACAGAAATGAGAATCTACCCCAAATTTTTGAAATCGGTTAAAAAGTATAAAAGTAACATATCAATTGACTCGATAACTTTTGATTGGATACCTCTCTTAACCGGTACAACATAAGTAGCCCGTCAATAAGAAAAATGATTTTCCTTATTTGTGAACAGAGTTCAAACGTGATTATAGTAATCGTGTGTAGCTTATATAAACAGACAGCACATCCGCGTTGTTCCCAGTTTATATTAACGAGCCGGTAACGTACGTCTACGAAAATGAAGATTTACCTGTTCAGTGAGTTTTACATGTATAAATATTTCATTTACTATTATGGGTTCTTGTTCATACAACACATTAATGTGTCCTATAATTATTATTTCTATGTCATACACTAATCCAATACATAACGCTACTATATATACATTCACAACATTTTATTGTTAATCAACATTTCCATTTAAATAATGTTTTTAAATTTAACATTATTCATTGTCAATATGGGTACTTAAAACTTACGTATGTACTTTGTTTAATATACATTAGAGTGGCTTGGTTATGGGATCAACTGTTGTAAATAATGAATATAATAACTAATTCTACACATGATTTATGATATACAGTCATATGTATGAGAACTGAATATAATAATAAAATCTCGTTTATTATCAAAACTGACATCATATTATGCAAGGTTATCACGTGATTACGTTATGATCACAATGTTTACAGTCATGAGTACAAAAGAACAATAATTGAATCCAATACTGTGGAGATCAATACATTTTTGCTTCTGATTTTACTTTGTTTATGTGCTTTGTAATTACTGCAGTTTAATAAAGTGAAAAGATATCAGATTCTCATAATATATTATTTTTATAAATTGCTAAAAAGGGTCAGCCGGAAGTCATTAGAATATTTGATGAATGCTATTTAGTTTCTGGAAGAAGGAACATTGAAGAAAGAGAGATTTTTTTATTACTTTAATTACATTGCAACACAATCAAAATATTATTGTACAGAATTGGTATACAATACAGTATTGTAACACGTACAGAATTAAGATGTAACGTAGTATTAAACACAGTAAGTAATTAATATATTTACAAATGTAAATTGTTACAATTTATATAAATTTCGTGATATTCTTACACATACGAGTAATACAAAAACATACCCTACGTAACTTAACATAGATTAGCCTTCCTCGTTCATTACTCTGTTCTATGAAACAAGGTTGACTATATGATTTAAAGGCTGTTTAGAAACAAAACGAAAAGGTTTTCGATTTCAAAAAATATTTGGTCATAGTCAATAACATGTCTTAGGTACATAAAAAAATAACAGGATGAAAAACTACTGGCGCTTAAGACTAATAGGTATGTTTTACATTAAACAAATACCAGATATACTTGCGGTAAATGCATTTTCCGTGTGATGACGGATTAAGAATACGGAGTGTCACCACCCCTATTCATCGCGGGAGTGTCGTAAGAGCCGACTAAGGAAGCAAATTACGCAGGACTTGACACAAACCCTATACCAACCCATCTGGCCAGCGAGGTATAGTAGGCCAAATCCTCCTATCTAAGGAGAGGCCTATATCCAGCAGTGGACTATTAAAGGTTGTTAATGATGATGATTGATGAAATGCTAGTATTGTTACTTACTAGTAATATCAGATTTTGCCCACGTTTAATTGAAATGAAAGGTAGGCAACAACTGGTCTTGGTATTTTTATGGCATAGATTGACGAAGGTAAACGAAGTGACCGGTCACTTGACTCGGGTGACTGCTACTGCCCATGGACACCTGCAACTCAAGAGTCACAAGTGTGGTGCCGCCCTTTGAGTCTCTTCTTTCCTTTCTTCTTTCTGTCCTTCTTTGTGGGAGCATAAAAGTCATTGTGTATGTGTCAAGAATATTTTTTTTCAAATATAAGGTCTCTAGTTTCGTTTGAGTACAACGAATAATGTTGTACCACCCAGACATGTTTAAACACTTTTTTTAACGGTAAGTAACTACATAACATACGTACAAATAAATAATGATATTTATATTCGAATAATGTTATGTGTTCAAACGGTTGCCTTATATTCGAATTACCCTAAACATGATACATTAGTTTTTGAACAATAAAAAATATTTAAAATAAAACTGTTTTTGGCAATATAGTATTGGCTCTCGTCGCATCAACAGTAATATCAGAAACAGATGTGAGAGACGTCCTGAAAAATGGAAATGACAAGTTCACGGCGAATTTTTTTTATGTAAGTTGTCAATACTACTTTCTTTGACTTTGACTGCACGGATGGCGTAGTGGTTTAAGCGGTCTCCACGTCGCTTACAGTAGTAAGCGATGTGGCGACCGCTTAAACCACTGCCCACATCGGACGGGATCGGACCCACAACACTCAACGTAGTACGTTGAGTGTTGTGGGTCCGATCCCCACATGGGACGACACTTTGTGTGATCCACAAATAGTTGTTCTGAGTCTGGGTGGTCTTTGTGTCCGTTTCATGTATGTTTGGTAAAGTCCCCCGCGATACAGGATTACTCCTAGGGCGGGGGTTTGTCTTTTCAAAAAAAAAAATGTTATGTGGAATGAAGTACATACATCTATTACTTCAGTGTAATAACAAAATAAAATTATGTAAATCTAAGCGCTATTAAATAAATAAATTCATTTTATCATATTATTTTGAAGTTTATTTAATTGACTGAATCTAGAACGAAATAAAATGAAATACTGAACCTTTTGATATAATAACCAATTTAACCTTGAAATTTAGCAAATTAACGCTTAAAAACGAAATGTTTTTATTTTCAGGAAATTTCGAAAGAACGAGCAGATCAAAGTTTCGTAATTTCAGCTTTTTCGGTTCTATCTCCTCTTGCACAACTGGCCTTAGCATCTGTAGGACATTCTCATGACGAGATCCTAACAGCTATAGGTATGCCCAACGACAACATGGTGAGTTAGTTTCTTCTTCTTGTTATTATTTCTCTAGTTTATGCAAATATTTTACAAAATAGTGTTGTTTACATTTAACGTTTATATTGGACGAATACACACGAAAGTGACACTATCCGGTTATCTCATTCTGTCCTTCGGGCTGAATACCTAGTTCTTGCCATCTATTTCTGAAATAATATTTCAAGACCTAATTTTTGTTTGTGATTTTGATGTATGTCGCAGACAAAAGAAGTGTTCGCTGATCTGAATACCAGAATACGATCTATAAATGGTGTCGAGCTAAAGCAGGCAAACAAGATATATGTTCGCAATGGTAACAATTTAAACAGGGAATTTGCTGCCGTTTCAAGAACTGTTTTTAATTCGGAAGTCCAAAATATCAACTTTGTGAACTCGCAAGAAGCTGCTGATGAAATAAATACGTGGGTTGGTTTACCTTTATTACCTACCTACTGTAATACCTTTAGTTTTATATTACCCGTTTGACATTTCAATCGAGCAAACTAATTCAAGGAAGAAAATATGCTGCTTTACCTAATTCTTAATTCTCGGAAAGATTGTCACAGATTTTTCATATCACATAATCATTCACTAAAGTTAAATTAAACTTGTCAAATTAATATACAAACACATATTACAGGTCGAAGCAAACACCAATAAACGCATTAAGGACTTGGTGAACCCCACTTCACTTTCTGCTGACACTGCTGTTGTTCTTGTCAATGCAATTTTCTTCAAGGTAACACCTGTCTATGTCTGTTAAGACAAACCTGTCTTTTAAAATAAAATGATTAATTCACTTCATAAATCATTATTTTTTCAAATAGGGAAACTGGCAGTCTCCCTTTGCGACGTATAGCACACATGAACGTGATTTTCTTTTATCTAAAAGTCAAAACGTTACAGTACAAATGATGTATCAACTTGCTATGTTCAAATACGCCGATAATGAAGATTTGGATGCTAAGGTAAAACTTATGGTTCATTTAATTGGGTAATTCATCAAAGAACCTCAGTGAAAAGAGGATTTTAACGCCTCGTCTGCCGACACTACTAAGTGAATAGAATCTGTATTATAAACACACGATTAATGAGTATGAAATTATATTTCAATTTAGTTTATCAAACATAAATTTGAGTTATTTTAAATACTTACTGTAGATTTGTAACAAAATTAACGCAGTGACTAAAGTACGCCTGTGATGACAGTCATTGAAACGTGGTCGAAACATCAGGCTGTTAAAAAATATGTAATACCTATAAAGTGATTGCGTTATTTTTGTACAGATAAATAATTTTTGTTTTTTTCCCTTGCAATTGTGAATCCTAAATATCAGAAGCTAAACTATATAAGTGTGGTGACAAATTAAAAATACGGAAAGTCACCACACCTATTCATCCTGTGGGTGTCGTAAGAGCCGACTACGGTAGCAATCTACGCAGGACAACAGCACTGCAAAGCAAAGGAAACTTGACACAAACCTTATACCAACCCGTCTGGCCACATTGCACACCAATTTGGAAGATAGGAGTTATTGGAACTGTACTTATTGGTGGTGTAAAACAAGAAATATTTTATCTATTTGTCTACATCTTATAATGTGTTTTAGCTCCTTGAAATGCCTTATGAAGGAGGTGAAACCTCCTTTGTCGTCGTACTTCCAAAACAAAATGATGGTATTGAGTCACTAATTGAGAAACTTAAAGATCCAGCCGCATTGCCGAAAGCACTGAGTACTATGCATACAGTAGACGTTCAGGTTTATTTACCGAAGTTCAAAATTGAAACTTCTACTAATCTTAAACAAGTCCTCCAAAAAGTAAGTATTATGAATGCTCATAGTTTATGAAACAGTTGTATTCGATGACAAAATATTAATTGCTTTGCATCATGACAACAATGCAGAAGCAACTTAGTTTAAATTTATTTACTGTATGTTAATTTTCGTATTCAGAGAAAGTGACAAGCCTTAACTGTCAATTATTATTTAATTTAACTTTAAATTAAAACAGCCAATGAAACACGAGTATTAAATGGTAATAAATCAATAAATTCATCGTGCAAACTAAAACTGCCGTCACAAATAGAATAAGGCTAAGAAATTAAATTTAACAGGTAGGTAGGTCAGATTACATATAACTGTGGAAACTAAATTTGTCAGAGAAAGAGTTAAGGTCATAGCTCATTGGACTCACCCGACCAGCACCAATTCGTCGCTTAGTGTCTAGTCGTTATTGATAGGTGGTGCACGTGTGGAAGCCGCGTTGTCAACCAGTGAGCGTCGGGTGGTAGTAAATTTTCCGTGGTCAACGATTGGATAATGCGTTGTCCGCGAAAAGATGAGTAGTTTATCAGGAATCGTCACGAGTCCTGCGCAGGGGCAACTTCCTACTCCCCCGACTACTAACCATTTTGGGCAATCGTAAGGAGTACCACTGTTAAGGGGCCAGGTGTTGCAGTAGGGAGCCGAGCATATTCTTAACCCTACCTTTGCCGTGGTCTTGGCTGGAGGCCTAGCCCTCGTTACAGCCGTCTTTGCCGCTGTGTTGACGCCGCATACGATGCGCGACCACTCGCAACGAAAAGTAGAGTCGGGGCTGTTGCGAGCTTCGGCCTAACCACAGCAAGCGGTGGCCGAACGTGAGACGTCCGTCCAGCATACGTCCCACTGCGTCATGAATTTGGTGCAGATGGGCATCAGAGACGTCCTTCTCCTCCGTCCTCTCGTCGACCTCCTTTCTAAGGAGAGGCCTAAATCCAGCAGTGGACTATTTAAGGCTATTGATGTGATGTGATGTGATTATGCCACTAAATATTATATTTATTGGTATATTTATAATTTTCTGTATTTAAATATTTACATAATACTCTATATATTAACCTTTGTACTCATTCTAATACAACCATATTCCCACAATATGGACAGCATCCACGAGTATATTTTCCAAGTCGATCATTAAATTCATGGAATATCACTGCAAAACGCTATTACTGTATTCACCATACATCCATCATATCGGCGCACAACGTTGCAATAGACTACTGCTGTTTGTTTGATTTCGCACTTTTTACCGGAATTAACTCTTATGGAAACGCCCTTTCAAAATATGAAGTGGCAATATGTTCTTTTACTTTGTTTTAGCTATTTCCTAAGCACTATAAGTTTACGTACATCATATGTCACTACAAAAAAATGAGGCTTTGTTTGATATACAAACTGTGTTGATACGCTTCGTAGTTTAGTAATTATTTAAGATTTTCACTAAATCTTTTTTCTTATAAAATTGTATTTTGTCGATTGTGGCTTTGTTCCAATAACTAATATTTTTTCTTAACAAAACCAATAACAATAGTCTACATATTAGAACACTTTTCAGATCAATATTAACCAATTATTTGTAGAAGGACAAGCTCATCTTGACAATCTTATAGAAGGTGCATCTAACCTATATGTGAGTGACGCTGTTCAAAAAGCTTTCATGCAAGTGGACGAAACCGGAACTGAAGCAGCTGCAGCCAATGGTAAGCAAAATTTTTTTTACTTTACAATTGACTTAAAGACAAAATTGCTGCTTTGAGACGGAGCAACATATAGATTTACATACAAATAATAACCTATACTGACCTGAACTAATTTTGCTAGCTAGGCAAATTAGATTTCTGACAAATATTTATGTTTTTTTTTAATGTTAGAGGGGGCAGACGAGCAGACGGGACGGACCTGTGTGGTTATGTAATAATAATTGAATCAATTAAATTGATACGCATGTGAAATACGAAACATGACTCATATCTTTCGTTTATGTGTTAACTCTTTGCTCCTGATGATATTATTTGTTCTAGGACTGGTTGGCTTTATTAATGTAATACACACCTGATATGTGCTACACTTTTATTTCACATATTAGAGTTCTGACCCGGCCCTCAATAATAATACCCCCTCTTCTATCTCTTTGATTTGAATGTGAAAATAGACTATCAATATTAATTCAAAATTTTATTATTACAGCGTTTGGAGTAGGTGCTGCTTTTGTAATCGACCCACATAATTATGAAAGCTTCGATGCTGATCATCCGTTCGTATTTTACTTAATGCACCACAATAACATTCTTTTCAACGGAGTATTTCGATCGTAAGCAATTGAGCAAGACATACGTACGGGCCACGTGTCTCTTCGTTATACCAGGTTAAGTTACATAACTTCACTCAAGGCTATTTTTCTGAAGAACAACCATGAGAGACACACAACACTTCTAGGTTTTGTCCAGTAAAAAAACATTACGGAAACAAATAAAATCTGTTTTTTATTTCACTCATTATGCATATCTTGCACTAACTTGATGAAAGGGATATATCGTTGTTGCAAGCAGTTTGCCATTGCATATTAGAGTACAGAAATTTAATTATAATCGGCTAAATGTAGGCGTCAACCAGCAGATGGACTATACTGTATAGTAGTATGAATTTTTGTGGTGTGCATTTAGATTATACATTTATTAATGAGTACAACATGTCATAGTCATACATAAATATGGGCAAATACATATTCATACACTTACATACATTCATATAAATATGCATACACATAACTATATAACACATAATTCTTACAAGGATAAATAGTGGTCCTTGAAGAGTTCTTAAAAGTACTCACTGACCGTGTCCGCCTTATAGCTTCCGGTAGTGAATTATTGTAGTATGAAAATGTATCAGTAAAAGTTGTAGACTGTGTTGGAATATCTAGTATCAGGTTTTTTGATAAACTCAAGTATTGTGTATGTGTGTCATGGATAGATGCAAATCGTATAGTAAAGTAATCCTCTGATGTAAGTATTCTGGCAAAGCCGACTTGAGGATAAGCGATAGAAGAGTTCTTGTTTGTACTAAAGTAACTATGATGCTTCACTATTAATTAACCAATTTTTGTAGATAGACGTTCACGTTTACCGAAGGGAGACTTTAAGGTTTAACATATCATATCCGAATAAGAGAATGAACTGTAGTAACCATGAGCTGCGATGTGACGTCGACGGATTTTCAACAATACTTTACACTCGTGCATACTGCTTAGCAAAATCGAATTTGATTGTAATGGTGCTATAGTCATCACACATCGTATCAACAGCTTTTAATGTACTGGCTTGGAGAAAACTTGAGTTAAGATCGCACTAGTTCATCAGGCGTACTTATATGTCTATGGGTATCATAAATTCTTTTCCTTCTCTATTTTGGATGTTGGCAATTGAAGCAGTGTCATCAAGCTGAACTTAAAAACTAGACCTTTGCGTCACTAGGAGACGATGGGGCGTAATCTCAAAGATGTCTGTTCCCCATCGAATCAGAATACAAAAGTCTGATATATTTCTGCTTTTTGCAGTGATACGCAAAAGAGTATGTACAGAGTATGCAATAATAGTGATGCTTCCCTGTTTCATGCATATCAATTAAGCGAGTCTATCATAGGGGGAGCAGGACGGCTAACTGTGGCCAGGGTGTCGGTACTCAGTGTAGGTGGCGATTCAACTTCCTGGCTACATGTACATATCCTGTATTTATGAATCATATACTTAAACGAAGCGAGCGAAGCGTTACTTAGCCATGTAATATAGTTATATTGCTAAGTATAACAATCTATTTAAACCGGTGGTAAGGTGATCATCTATTGATGATCACCTTACCACCGGTTAAAGTTAAACTCCACTTATTAAGTGGAGTTTAACTTTCGTATAAAATAACCTCATCATCATCACTAACAACAGCCTTTAGTAGTCGACTACTTGTCATAGGGTTTATAGTGCTGTTGTTGTGAATTACTAGTATATTACACTGCAAGTGTCATCAATTAAAGGGCTTGTTTACCTTTATATGTTACAACCCTTACTATTATATATTTTGCCAATAATTAATTGGTTCTAGGAATAATGTGATTCGTCATAAAACGAAACCATTTTTTTAAACATCGAATTGTATCAAAATGTTAAAACTTAAAAAGTTACGTTCTGTTAGTATAGAAGTGTTACTACTCGCAGCTTAGATGCGCCACGTTAAATACTTTTATACAACTCTGAAAACTGATCCCGTCTACAACTTGGCAACTCTTTCCAGAAGTTTTCTTCCCTACAGTATCATATACCCAACGTTAAAAAAGAAATGGAAATACCAAGTTAAGTTAGGTATTGTTAGGTATTTTTTGTTCCGCTTTAAACGAACACAACGTCAAGTTTTGACATTTCAGTTTTCCTTGTTTCACCAAAATCATGGTGTATCAAAAGAAATAGCGGAATCTTATTGCCACTGTAATGTAAATAATCTTTATTTGAATTTCCCTTTCAGAATGCCCACGTAAGCACTGGATAGCAGTCGGCATTTACAGAAGTGTAATAATAAATTATTATCTTTGAGTTGAAACGGTGTGAATACAAACATTGCATTGCTATAGATTTTAATTAATATAAAGAAAACTAGTGTTTAATCTTACATTGGTGTTTAATAAATGATTGTATCAAATGAAAACTGACTCCCTACATACAGCTCGCACATTCAGAACAACAATTTGTGGATCACACAAAGTTTCGTCTCATCGAACCCACAACACTGAGCACAGTTGGAAGCGGCGAGGTGACCACTTAAACCGCATTGCCATCCGTGCAATCGATATTACTAAGAACTTGGGTATACAATAGGAAGGAAGTCTCCGAGAACCACGTTAGACCTTGGCCGCCATAGACAGCCACACTAATGAGTGCAGAGGGCCTTTGCCCTCCTTCCGATACAGAGCCGGCGCCTTGGTGCCGCTTCTTTGGGAAGGAAGAATACTTGCCCTCACCCGTACCCTTCCCACCGCCTCTTTAATGGACATCACTTCAACACTAAAAGGAACCGCGGCGTACACTCTCACAATTACAAGCACAATTACACAGTAGTAATAGTACAGTTTTTTGCAATTTATACTTCAAACCATTATAAATTAAAATGTCATGTAATTGAATAACTAGTGGTGAACTTGTACCTCTTTTAGCCTGCACAACATAAATATCAAGCAGTAAAAAATAATATTGTAAAAGTTTTTCTTTATACGTGAACAGAGTTCAAAACTGCATTTTTTGTTTACACGAACTCACTTCAACGAAACTTGATTTGTGTCACGGTCACATGCATGTATGCACAACACTAGATACCACTAGACACCTATTTATAAGTTTTATTCGTACTGAACTCCCAGTGGTAGCACCTACTTGAAAGCGATGCTAAAATATAACACAATAGTCATTAGAACCAGTGGCATTATAGTAAGATTAGCTTACTTTCACGCCTGATGACGAGTGGCGACTGTTCGAGCCCTCAGTGCCTGATCACTTTTTGATCTTTTTGTTTTTATGTCGGGATATATATTTTTAACTCTGTCACTTTAAAATGACTAGTTTACGGAAAAAAGGTAAAATATGTCATTTAATTAAAAAGTTATTATTTTTCATAAGATAATTTATTTATATTATCACCAACCTTAAAAAGGAATTAAACGTTAAAATAAACACATTTAAGTTTGATATTTTTATAAACTATTTTGGTTGCTTATGCAATTTGTTCTTGTTGTTTATAGAGGTTTACAGTTTAATTTGTTCATTTTCTCAAGGAAAAGAAGATACAAAATTAACCTCTATATTACAATCATAAACTAATTTATTACTATTACAGCCAGCGCATCCCCTAAATTGCCCTAAGCAAAAGGTATTTATAATTTAAATATATCTTTTTTTTTAATACTCCGACCTGCATTGTTTATTATTATAAGTAAGTAAGTTGTATTCAACCAAGAAGACGTTGACGCATGGAAGCCACTAAACACCATACGTTTTCTAAACGGTTTAGATCAGGGGATCGCGCTGGCCATGGAGTAACCTTAACATTCGAATATTGATGAGATTGAAACCATTCACTTATAATACCAGCACGGTGTACCGCACAGTTATCTTAAATAAAATAAGATCACTAAATTTATTCACGGGATAAACAGGTAGCACACACACAGCACAATAGGTAGCTTTATGCCATTCGAAACTCAGTTTGGAATCATTTGTTTCATATTCATCAACCAGGTAGGAGTAGGCCAAAACCTCCTTTTGTTTTTTTTTTTTTTTTTGATATTAGACATTTTTACCCAATACTTAAGAGACTAAAACAACACAATAACTTACACTTAAGCTGGTTTCCTTGGATATTTCACATATTCAGCTCACGTAAAGCTATAATATTAGCCCTGGATTCAAAACTAATATTTGCTTGCATTTTGAATACAGAAATGCAATATAAGCATCAGTAGCAAGTAATAACACAAATTTACGCTTTTTACGCTTTTTTTTTCACACAACGCCATCTAGTCCCAAACTAAACATAGCTTGTACTATGGGTACTAGACAACTGATAAATACATAAATCCTTTTTTTTTGTAAATACATACATATTATACATAGAAACACCCAGACCAAATCAAACATTAAATGTTCATGCACACAAATGTTTGACTTCGACTTCGACTTCGAACCCGCGACCTTTGGAATAGCAGTCCGTTACACAAACCACTACGCCATCCGGTGATCCGTGAATAGTCGAGGGTGTTTTCAAATCTATCCCCAACTTTTAGTGACTTCTAGTTTAAAATATTGAATCAAAGATTTATATTCTTAGGCAATATTGCACTCATAACCACATTACATGAATTCTCAAAAAGTTACTGTGTGGTTGCATGAGTTTTGAAACGACGGCATTTGCATCAGAGTGTCCACAGGAGCGCCAAACTGACAGTCATTGATTACGTTGAAATTAGTCACCATAATCAAACGCACGTAGCGTGTATATGTATGTGTGATATGCGGTAATAGAAGAAGGTCATAAGTCCAACTAGTTATAATGCTATAACTTCGTAAAAATGCTACTGAACTTATGACCTCGACCGTACGTTATAAAAAGGCACAGCACATCCGCGTTATTCTCAGTTCATATTAAAGTGCAGGTAACATACGTCTACGAAAATGAAGATTTACCTGTTCAGTGAGTAAATATTCCATTTACTTTTATAGGTTCTTGTTCACATCCTTATTTTAAAATAACGTCATCTACTAAATCTACACATTGCAAACATTTTATTAGTAATTACACATAAATTTTGTGCTCAAAGAATTTGGTACTTTGTTTTGTACATATTTCCGTCACAGATTTTTAAATCCTTTAAATGCACAGTCTTAATGTTACTGGAATTTTGTTTGGTCAAATTTTAGTATTATTTATTTTTTAGTACATTACTAGGGAAAAAACACGAGTGAACCGTCTTGAGTAAAAATTGTAGAATATCTAATATTCAACAGAGCAGGTTAATGTGTAATAATAATAATACTTTATTGAAAACCTTAGTACGTTTTCACAAGAATTTAACTATTAATGGCTGTAATAGTATACTCACACATCACATATCTTGCAGTATAAAACAAGGTTAGAGCTTTATATTTTGTTGAACATATTTGTTTTATCTATATTGTGTAGATGGTATGCGTGTACATTATAAGTGTAGGTAAGTGTATGTGTGTGTACGCGTAATGTATGTAAAGTGTATTAGTTTCCATGTTATGACATCTTCACACTGTTTACAAGGTAAAGAATAAAGCTACTCTATTCGTTTGAACTTACATTTTTATAGGTCATAAGCAACCTATTAATTCTAATATAAAGTTTAGGACTTAGAATTGTAATCAAGCTGAATAGGCATTGTACACTACTGTACACTTGTTGTTTGAATAACTTATAATGAATTATATCATACTAAAACAAAACTAATTTTTGAGTAGATACCCAGATCGTTTTTATTATTTCCTCTCCTAATTTGCACACTTTCCGGCACCGGTCTTTTTTCTTTAAAATCATAGCAACTTGCTTTCAGCACGTTCCGATAATTTTAATAAAGTTTAAATTATATTATGGCTTACAGATGATTGATGATATATTTACAGTTGTGCGTAAGACCACTAAATATAATAACAGAATCTCACAAATCCGACATCTTTATATGCAAGGTTAACATGTGATTACGTCACGATCAGTATTCACAGTCATGAGTACAAAAGTACAATAATTTGATCCGAAACTTTTTTTTTATTATGCGGATATCACCCACCGGTGGGGTGAATATGTCGGACTCGAACCGACCAAAAAACCGCACACCGTCTTAGGTACCAGTAGACGGGGAACCAGGTGAACCCTAGAAAGGAAATCCCTGGTACCCCGACGGGCCATCCACGGCGTGTAGATGACCTCCTCCTGTATGGGAAACACCCAAGTTCCCTTTGTGCTCCTAAAAGGGCGCGCTCGCTAGGCAGTGCGTCTCGCCGCCACTCCTGCCTGCTTCTGCTAGGGTGACAGATGGCCTCATCTGTCACCACCAGGCCTGCGCTTATGGAGGACGGTTCGTTCTGCGGTCGGTCCCGAGTCGTGTGCGGTACCTGGCCCGTACCCGGGCCTGGCGGGCCGTTAGAGTTCTAAATCTCTCCGGTGCCGCTCCGCCATCTCCTTCACAAGCATAATTTCTCGCTGCTGTTATAATATAAAGAAGCAAATGAGCATAAGGATCACCTAGTGCTAAGTAACTACCGCCGCCCATGGACACCTACTCCTCAAGTGTCACAAGTCTCGCCCCTCCCCCTCCTCTGCTACCCTAAATGGGGGATTTTGGGCGCCGGTAATTCCATGAAAAGCAAGAATAGAATTACACACAGATTTTCAGTAAGGTATTGCGCGATATCACTCCTAAAACTAAAATTTATATGCGAACAGTGTCACATTTTCTCGGTGTCATTGTTTTTGGACTACCTCAACGATCCATATTCGATTAAACTAAATATGATACATTAATTTTGAACAATACTAAAAAATTAACTTTTGCCTTTCGCACTACAGTAGTGACTCTCGTCGCATCTACAGTAATATCAGACACAAATGTACAAGACGTCTTGAAAAAAGGAAATGACCAATTCACCGCAAAACTTTTTAATGTAAGTTTCTTTGTTATGTGTGTCTAAAATTAGAATAGAAAAATTAAATATAACGTAAAATAATGCACTATTGGGGTAACAAAATAGTTGCGTCATAGTGTTTAAAACTGCCTCTAATTGACTAAATCCAGAATTAAAGAAAATAATGTATTAAACCTTAAATAAAATACTTAATGCTTAAAAACAAAATGTGTTTTATTTTCAGGAAATTTCGAAAGATCAAGCGGGTAAAAGTTTTGTACTATCAGCTTACTCAGTACTATCTCCTCTTGCACAACTAGCATTAGCGTCTGTAGGACGTTCTCATGACGAGATCCTAACAGCTATAGGTATGCCTAACGACAACGTGGTGAGTCATAATCGAATTAATGTTATGCATTTTTTAGTTTATGCAAATTTTACAATACAAAGTGGAGAAAAACTTACCGCCGGACTTGTTCTTGTTGTCTATTAATGAAATAATATTAAACATTTGTGATTTTTATTTATGTTGTAGACAAAAGAAGTATTCTCAGACGCGAATAACAAAATACGATTAATAAATGGTGTTGAGCTGAAGCAGGCGAATAAAGTATATGTTCGCGATGGTAACAATTTAAACAAGGAATTTGCTGCCGTTTCAAGAACCGTTTTCAATTCGGAAGTCCAAAACATCAACTTTGAGAATTCAAAAGAAGCTGCTGATGAAATAAATACGTGGGTGGGTACCTTTAGTTGTATCTTCTATCTTTTTCATATTTCTATCTAGCATACTTTCTCAGGGGTGAACTTATGATATTTTACCTCATTTTTAACTCTCGGAAAGTAATGTCTCTACACTTGAAACGCTTAACTGCACTTATACATGATTGTAATGCACTTATACATAAGTTAATAACATATATACCACAGAAGTAGAATAAATCTGAATAAATGGAGCGGCGTGCTAAAGCATGTGGATGTGAATGTCGGACTGGTGAACGAGATTAGTATAGATGAAATTAGATTGGCAGTACGAAGTATGAAAAATGGAAAGCAGTTCGCCCCGACGGTATACCAGTGGAAGTTTGGAAGCTACTGAAAGAAGACGGATATGAGTGGCTGACTCTATTCTTCAATATGTTGTTGCTTGAAGAGGTAATCCCAAAGGAATGGTGTCAAACCCAACTCGTACCCATTTTCAAAAATTAAGGAGATGTTCAGGAATGCAACAACTATCGAGGAATAAAGCTCATGTCACATACTATGTAAGTCTGGGAGAAAGTGATTGAGAGAAGAATAAGAGATGAGAGTCAGATAACCCAAAGTCAATTTGGGTTTATGCCAGGATGCGGGACAACAGATGCTATATTTGCAATGCGCCAACTATGTGAGAAATACAGGAGTGCGCACAAAAACTTGCATATAGTGTTTGTGGATCTCGAAAAGGCATATGATAGGGTACCTCGAGAGGTTTTGTGGTGGGCTTTGAACGAAGAAAGAGTGCCTGTTAAGTATGTAGAATTGATTCGTGCTATGTACAGAGAGTCTAGCACTAGTCTAGTCTAGTAAGGTAGGTCACGGGAAACACTGATTAATTCAGTGTCTCTGTAGGCTTGCACCAGGGATCAGCTCTAAGCCCATACCTCTTCCTGTTGAAAATGGATGCTCTGACATCGGACATACAGGAGGAGGCACCTTGGTGCATGCTATTTGCAGATGACATTGTGTTGGTCGGTGAAGATGGGGTTGAGGTCCAGAGCAGACTGGAAAAATGGCAACAAAGGCTGGAGAATGTTGGCTTGAAAATCAGCAGAACCAAAACTGAATACATGTTCTGCGATTTCGGCGGTCTCTCCAGTCCTGAAACCATTTGGCTGAATGGGATAGCGATAACAGTCTGCTCCAATTTCAAGTACCTCGGCTCCCTCTTACAATGTGATGGTGAGATTGATCGACCTGTACAGCATCGAATCAATAGGTCTTTTCATCTGTTCGAGTTATGGAGGCCAAGGCTTGAGGTAAATGGTCGTGGTAACTTTAAGAGCAAAGTGTATTCATTTAAATTTGTCGAGTCACCATTGTGTCAATGCTCAACACCTAACTCTAACAGTGAACAGTCTGCTCATCATATTTTCTCGAAATGCATTCTTTGGTAGAATGAACGTAATATAATGCTGAACAGCTTACAGATGATACCTGGGGCGGTATACAATGGGGATCTTATGTCAATTAAGATGAATTTCTGTGCGTTTAGACCATTCTGCCATACACTTAGGACCCATAATATTTACGGGCCGTGGTGCTACCCTATTTAAAAGTGTGTATGCCTATTTTACTTCATTTTGTCTTCCGCTTCGCTAAGAAGGAAAGTGGATTTATTATATTTCTAACTCCTCCAATATTCTTCTGATAATTGATTTCATTGCGGGTTTCCAGACAGTTTTTTATCTTTGACTTCATAAGTGACATAACTCGGTGACTTCTTGGGTTACTGCTGTTAATCCTTGTGTACAGGAGTAACAGCGGTAGGCGTGTGGGAGAGAATAGTCATATTTAAAAAAGTGTTATCGAGCATGTCAACAATGTACAATCACATCAATCGAATCACAGTCCTGAATACTAAGTTAAATCAAAATTCTCAAATTATTTCTCAACATTTTATACATTACAGGTCGAAGAAAACACCAATAAACGCATTAAGGAATTAGTGGACCCCTCGACGCTTTCTGCTGACACTGCTGCTGTTCTTGTTAATGCTATTTACTTCAAGGTAAAACTTATCCATAATTTTGCAATATACGCATACTCGTACTTTTAAGACAAAAACATGAATTCCTTATAATTCGTTTTTTTTCCAAACAGGGAAACTGGCAGACTCCCTTTAAGGAGTATGGCACACATGATAGTGATTTTTTTGTAACGAAAGATCAAAACATCAAAATACCCATGATGCATCAAACTGATAGTTTCAAATTTGGCGATAGTGATGAATTAGACGCCAAGGTAAGACTTATGGTTAATTCGATTGATTAAATCTTCGAACCATTCTGGTCAAAATAGGGTATTATTAACAACTCGGCTTCTGACGCTACTACGTAAATAGAGTCTGTATTATATGCAAAATTTGTGAGTTTCAATGTCAATTGCAATTTAGTTTGTTCAACATTAATTTGAATAATTATAAAAACTGTTAAACTTAATTTTTTAATACTAATAATAAGGTAACATATGTACATTTGTGGGTAAAGATTTTTTTTATTCAAAAAGAAATTTACATTTCACTTACATGAGACTATAATTTTACTTAATACGAGTACATACATCAATATATGATATATTATACTTCATCATTCAAACATTTAAATATTACGTTATTTTCGTCAAACGATTTACAATTTGAACGGTTACATTATAGTTTTGATACTAATCAATTTGTGTGGATAAAGGTTTTCTCCTTAAGGTTGGTGCATATATGATCAAGGATAGTTTTCGTTTTCATTTGTGGTTTTGTAAGGCAATTAACATAGTGATTTTAGTATGTCTGTTTTCACGGCTAGTAAACCCTGGTCGAAACCTTAGGTTATCAAAAATGCAATACCTATTTCTAATTATAAAATATATTATTTCCTTAAATTGTATAATAAATAAAATTGTATCAGAAGCAAAACAAAAAAAAAGAATAAATTATAAAATAAAATATTACACAGTTACATTTTTATATATAATTTCTACTTTGTACAAGTAATAGCCCTTAGATATAGTGTTGTTTATTAAAAAACCTAAATTGAATGAACGAAAATACCTGAAGAAAATTATTATGTGTGAGCTCAAATATATTGTTATAAATATTTAGCAACAAGAAATAATTGCGCATTGTACACTTTTACACAATTACATTTATTTGAACTTTATTTATTAGTGGTGTAAAACAAGAAATTTTTGTTTATCTCATATTATGTTTCAGCTCCTTGAAATGCCCTATGAAGGAGGTGAAACATCCTTTGTCGTAGTACTTCCCAAACAAAACGATGGTATTGAGTCCCTAATTGAAAAGCTTAAAGATCCAGCAGCATTCCCGAAAGCAAGGAGCACTATGCATACAGTAGATGTTCAAATTTCTTTGCCCAAGTTTAAAATTGAAACTACAACTGATCTTAAGGAAGTACTCAGGAAAGTAAGTAGTAAGAATACTCGTATTTAATTAAAATATTGTATTCAATATTAAAATATTATGAAGACATTTTCATAAGCTGTAGTTTTTGATCGGTTGGGTCTGAGGTCTTCGTTTAGGTTCTCTTGGCTACGTTTAAGTTCACAAAACCAATGCTATATCAATTTTTTATCATTATTTTATTACTAGTTCATCCAAGGTTGACTGTGAGAGATTGCTCTGTAGTAATAAGACCACCATTTGTAATATTCATCTATGAATATTTATAAATAGCAGCGTCTTACTATTCTTGTAAACAATTTTTCTTGATAGAAAATATAACCAAAGAATTCACATTGTTTCCTAAAAATTCCAGGTCAATATTAAGCAATTATTTAAGGCAGGGCAAGCTCATCTTGACAATCTTTTAGAAGGAGCATCAAACCTGTATGTGAGTGACGCTATTCAAAAAGCTTTCATGGAAGTGGACGAAATGGGAACTGAAGCAGCTGCAGCCAACGGTAAGGGTTTTTTTGGCTTTACTAGTGAATTAAAATCAAATTGCTGCTTCGTGTCCGAGACGGGCAAAGGATTCACAGAATTAATCAAGCTGGCCAGGTTATTTCAGGGTAACGGACCTAGAAATATTTTAAGATTTTTCACAAATACTCTGAATCCGTTACACAGAGTGTGGTGACATGGATTAAGAACACAAAATGTCAGCACCCCTATTTATCCCGTGGGTGTCGTAAGAGCTGACTAGGTTAGCAAATTACGCAGGACAACATCAGTGAAAAAAGAAGGAAAACTTGAAATAATGGCCGTCTGGCCAGAGTGGTATAATAGGCCAAAATATCGATTCTAATGAGAGGCCCATGTCCTGCAGTTGTAGTACACATTTGTGAAATCACCAGCCTTAACTATTCGTAGAAAGACTTTGATTTCACAAATCTGATTTATGTAAGAATATTTGATACTCATTTGAAATACGTAAAAGCAGAATTCTTTCTTTGCTTAATAATATATTGTATAATTTAATATATACTTACCGCATTTTTTTTATCAATTAATATTATATATTTTATATATAACATTATTATATATTTTATATATAACATCTTCCTAGGGCTCTAAATATTCTGCCCCTCGTTTTTTTTTAATTTGGACCTAATATGTATATATATTTTTTTTAATTCATAAATTTATTGTTACAGCGTTTGGTGTATCATATCTTTCTGCTGTCGATGAACGTTATTATGAAACGTTCGATGCTGATCATCCGTTTGTCTTTTACTTAATGAACCATGATAACATCTTTTTTAACGGAGTGTTTCGATCGTAGACAAGTGAGAAAGATATACGAACAGATTCTATGTGTCCTCGTTCCACCCAGTTAAGTTAGTTGACTCCACTCCAGATCATTTCTGCAAAATAACAACCGTGAAACCGTGATACGAACACAACACCGTTAGGTTTGTTCAGTAAAAAAGAAAAAAAAACTTATTTTTTTAATTTATTTTAATCGTTGCACACATCTCACACTAACTCATCGTAAAATCAAACAAATCAAATCAACTGTAAAATTTTCCAGTTGCCGATAAAGGAATATTATTTATCCTACTATTATATCCGACCAAGGAAATAAACCGGCTTCAGGAAACTTGTGGTAATATTAGAATATATATACATATATATATACATATAAACAATATGTAAATATATATATTAATATAATTTATCAGACATAGTACAGATATGTTTGTAGATGGAAAAAAATCTTGCCCTAGCCTATTTGGGAAGCCGGCAATCAAAGCGCAGTCTCAAGTCCAGATCTGAAACTGGACCTTTTCTTTGCGTTGTTCCCCATCAATTCCAGATAGAGCGATTTGATATATGCCCGCTTATTGTGGTAAAACTTAAAATAACAACCTGACTCTCGATTGCCAGGAGATTGCATGGCCCTCAATACATCGTAACAACAATTAGTTATATACTTCTTAAGATTTTAAGCATTATTCTTGTCTGGGCATCAACAAATCATAGCAATACTAAACTAAAATAACAAAAAACCTGAGCAAGTTGCAGTTAGTGGTCGATTATAGGAGGTCTAGACAAAGTTCGAGTTTGCAATTTTCTGAGTCGGTACAAAACTGTAAAGGCTCTAAAAACTCGTTACATCAAATGGGCTACAAAAACTCTGGAAGTGAAAATTCTGTCCAAGTTTAATTTACTTTTATTGTTCTTACTCTTCTTCTCGAAGTAAAAAACTTTTTTCCTACCTTTTAGAGACCTTCTAAATACATTTTTTTATCCGATTCAAACGAACAACGTCAAATTCCACATTTCAGTTTTCCTTGTTTCAGTGTATTAAAGGAAATAGAGGAATCTTATTCTCGCTGTAATGTAAATCATTGTATTATTATTATTATTAATTATCTTTGAGTTAAAACGACTTAAATGCAATTAAGTAATTAATTAATCTAAAGAATACTACAAGAAGTGTTTACACAAACTAGTGTTACGTGTGGTGACGGATTAAGAATACGGAATGTCACCACCCCTATTCATCCCGTGGGTGTCGTAAGAACCGACTAAGGGAGCAAACTACGCAGGACAACGGCACTGCAAAGAGAAGGAAAACTTGACACAAACCCTATACCAACCCGTCTGGCCAGCGTGGTATAGTAGGCCAAAACCTCCTTTCTAAGGAGAGGCCTATGTCCAGCAGTGGACTGTTATAGGCTGTTGATGATGGTGATGTGAGTGAAGACTAAATGTTTATTTTTAACAACAATATTCAACGAGATATTTGACTCTAATCAGGCAAAACAAACTAGAATACAAAGATTTCATATGGCAAAACTGTTTATACATTACTATTACCTGCTTTTTAAAGAATAAATACAAAATTGACAATATAATACTTAAACATTTTTAATAAGCGACTAATCGGTCACTCGCGTGTAGACCTAATAACTGTTCGGTCGCATTTACATTATTATACATCTTCAGCTGTACAGCAAATCGTGCATTATAATCGCGTATATCTATCTATATAACTAAAAAGCATCTCTGAAATGTATGTACGCCCATAACTGCACTAAATTCTATATTTTTTTTCTATGTTCGTTATTGTCAGGACTAGGTTCCTATATAAGAAAATTTAGAAAAACGACCATATTTTTAAAAATATTTTGATTGACTCACTTAATTGATTATAATTGAAGTTTTAATAGTTAGTATTAAGAAATAACCTGAAGAATCATATTACCTATAAACACCAAGGAAATACAACACTTAACCTAACAACTTAAAAACACGTGCACGAGCAATGCGTCCTATAAAAACGTATTAGTTACCACCTGGAGTCTCACCCGGCTCGGGCTTGACAGCCGGAGCGCCGTCAAGCCTCCAAACACAACTGACCCGACAAAACCAAGCCCACGACCTACCCCTAGTTAGGGGTAGCGATGGACACTGCTGGCCGAAGCTCCGAACTAGCGAGACGGTGTGAAGACTATAAGATAGCGTACTAGGTTCTTCATAGGCGCTCATTCTCGTTCGAGCCGTCCGGCTGTACGGATCTATGTACGACTGTTGGTAAGACCTTGGAATATTTCTTTAATTGTATTTAGTGTTGTCTTTATTTACTACCGTACGGATCTATGTACGACTAGTACGACTGTTGGTGAGACCTTGGAATACATCTTTAATTGTATTTACTGTTGTCTTTATTTAATACCGTACATATCTATGTACGACTGTTAGTAAGAACTTGAAATACATTTTGATTGTATTTACTGTTGTGTTTATTTACTACCATACCGTACTGTACAGATCTATGTCTATCTATATAAATAAAATTAATCGCTTAAATGTACGCGCATAACTTCTGAACTAAACGGGATAATGCTTTTTTTTGTGTGTTTGTTATTGTCAGGACAAGGTTTGTATAAAAAGTTTAATGAATAACGAACAGTTTTTTTTAAATCTCAGTATATGAAAAGTGGGTGAGTGAATGAACCAGATCTTCTTTTATATTGACAAAACATTACCATCAGGATTTAAAGTATGGTGACATTAATTTATATATATCAACTACAAACTACCTAACTTAATTTAAAAAAAATGATTCTTATTGATACTAGCTGGTTCCCGCGACTTTGTTCGCGTGGAGTTTGGAAAGCGCTGCCTCAGGGCTGCCACACGAAAATAAATGCAAATGTTTATAGGCTTCGAATTACTTTATTAAACGTAAGTATGTAAAATTTGAAACACTCAAGATGTTGGCGCGGGGTTCCCGAATATCCTATACCGGGCGACTTATTTCTGGCACTGTGTTATATATGACTCTTTACACGCTGCTAGAATGTCCAGCGTATATGGAGCAGAGGCATGACATCGTGACTGATTGTGACCATGGTACGGAGCGACTAACTTCTCCTGCGGGGAGAAGTGGGACCGAGAGGGACTTGGAATCCTCTCCTGGCGCACCAGGCAGCAGCACGCCAAAGCATACCGCGTCATGTCGTAAGCGTTTCGCCAGCCACTCAATAGGGTCGGCGCTGACTGAAGTCGCGACACGGTACGGCTAGGTAAAGGATTTTATTTCTGATCAAGTTATTTTTATCCATATTTCAATGTATCTCTCGTAATCTCCACAAATGATTTACCCAAAATTGTTTTTGCTTCAATTTATCAGTTTGTGTTTGTCTCTCTTTAGCAAGAACTGCTAATAATACAAAATCCGATCCAATCAGAACGACGCAACCAACTTTGTATCCGCACAGACGAAACTGATTGACTGTCTCCCGGCCTAGACTTCGAGGGAGGGGGGCTATACTCCTGCGACCTATGTCACTCGCGATAATTATACGAGTATGGTGGCATGAAACCGCTTGGCTTCATCGGTATTGGGCGCTCGAACAGCTAGCAGCGGCGCCGGGCTGCCTTAGTGCCTGCCTTGGTGTTGTACGATACGTGAGGCCTCGGGTTCGATTCTCGGATCTGGATTTTTTTTTTAGGGTTTTTCTTAGAGAATAAATCCTTTTAAAAAAAATTGACCCGACTTCTTACAATACTAACAACCAGAACACTAAACACCTAGCAGCAATCGCGGTTGATTTGCTGTCATTTTTTAAAGAGTTTTGATGATTTTTGGAGACAGACTCCAAAACTCGTCATTAGATATATATGAAATTTAAATGGGACTATTTCTGAATAAACGCCTTTCAAACAAAAAAAAAATTAGAAAGAAGAATTTTGAAAATTCGTCCATATCTGACAAAAATATACATAAAAAAAATATATCCGAATTAATAATCTACTCCTTTTCGAAGTCGGTTAAAAATAGCGTAAGTAACGCCTTATAGAGACAGTTGGTAGTAAAATATTATCAAAATCGGTCCAACCGTTTAAAATATTACCCGGAACAAATAGACAGACAAAAAAAACTGATTTTAGGTATAGGTGTCGTGCAAATAACCGTGTGAGCATGAAAAAACATATTATTTTAACATCACAAACAGGCACTTCAATTTTATTTATTTGTATGGATGGATAATTGCAGTTTGATAGTTAGTATTAAGAAATAACCTGAATAATCATATTATCTAAAAAGACCAAGAAAATACAACTCTGATTGCCTGAAACTAGTTTTAAGTGCAGATCAAATCTTAAGTATCGATCTTATTATAGAACGCGTTTTAAGTTTTACTCAGTTGAAACTAGTTTCAAATATTGATTTGAACTTACAGTCTGTTCTCAATTACGTTTCCGCAAGATTGACACTATTATTCCGCATTACGCAGCTAATTATTTAAAAAATAATTTTCTTTTACAAAAATAATTTCTGTGAATTTGTATATAATTTACTATTGGCTAGTGTAGCAATTTATATTTAAGTTATTTATCAACACTTGTCATGTTGAAATGTCAAACGATGTTTTTATTTGATATTTCTAAAATTTATATTACTATACCTACTATACTTTTAACATAAACCAAAAGGTTCGTGGTTTTAAGTGACGTTCAATAATAAAAGTGCCTTAAAGTGACAACTATTTAAAAACATGCTCGAGTAATGCGTCCTTTAAAACCTTAGAATACATCTTTAATTGTATTTACTGTTATCTTTATTTACTTCAATCAACCAATCGGGCATTGACGAAGTCTGAATTTACACGGCCGGTTCCAAGACTGGGTCAGGAACTGGAGCCGGAGTTTTCTCGCAAGACCTCAATTTTAACATAATACATCACTAGCTAACTATATTCCAAAGC